GGATGAAGCTGGAAACCATCATTCTGAGAAAACTATCGCAAGGACAGAAAACCAAACACCACATATTCTCACTCATAGGTGGGAAATGAACAATGAGAACACTTGGACACAGGGTGGGGAACATCACACACCGGGGCCTGTCGTAGGGTGGGGAGAGTGGGGAGGGATAGCATTAGGAGGAATATCTAATGTAAATGACGAGTTAATGGGTGCAGCGCACCATCATGGCACATGTATACATATGTAACAAACCTGCACGTTTTGCACATGTACCCTAGAACTTAAATAAAAAAAAGAAGGCCTCCTTAAGGGGATCCTCATTCCAGTTGTATATGTTCTATTGATACCATTACTAAGGGATACAGTTTTTAAACAAATATATAATGTTTCTTATATTTAAAACCAAGAAGTGAAGAGTAGAATGCATTTTCTGTTTTCACTCTTTGCCCAGACATCAAGTTGATAATCCTATGGTTATCAGTGATATGCATCAGCTCATAAGTAACCCTTCAGTATGTGAACATGGGGAATTTTTAAATACTGGGCTCTTCGATATGGATTTGTGTTACAGTCATGTTATCATCTCACGCCTTCCAAGATTTCAAAGGATCTGATGGCTGTAATTGCAGAGAATAAATGAGTAATCTTTAGTCTATTTCAGAAATAGAAGGCCAGATGATTCCCTTTCCATAAAGGATTAAGTTTTCATCCAATGCCAACTCTGATAAGGCCTTAGTCATTTCTGTGGGTGAAATCTGATCTGATGCAAGCAATGTTATTTTCATTTCTGAAAATTATCTATGTCCAGTGCATCAATCACCCAATAGGTCCACCCTCCAATAAAAATATTTGAAATGGAAAAAAAAATCAGTTGTAGTTTAACTACCCATTGGATGTTGGATACTACCTCTAAGTGGCTGTTTAACTTAAATTTGAATACTTTCACTGGCAGGAAGCTTACTACATTCCAAGGTGCCTTATTCTATCTTTGGACATATCACTTAGAAAGTTTATCTATCTGAGTAAACTGTCTCTTTCAAAGTTCAGGTTTTTTCCTCCATATGAGAATAAATAAAATCTATTTTTCTCTTCCAGTTGAAAGCCATTCAAATATTTAAAATATCTGTTTCCTAAAACTTTTAAGTCAGTAAAATGCATTCAATGGAATTTAAGATGAAGCTTATATTTCACTACATCTCACAGAAGTAGTAGGCTCCAACTTATACATCTAGAATTAAATGACACAGTACACACGAATGTACAATGACAACCATGAAGCACCTACAAACATAAGAACAATTACTGAGTCTCCCAAATTAGATAATAAGCAATCAAAGCATAGAAACTATGCCATGTTTGTTTTTTTTAAAAACCATACTTCTATCCCCTAACAACATAGTATGATGCTATGTGGTTCAGTTTATAAAAGGTTTATTGACTGCTTGCTATATGTCAGGTACTATGTTAGGAATAAAATGTGAATTCAAGTGCCTCACAACCAAGGAGCTTAAGTGAAATGTATAATAACCAACCAAGTATTTACTGGGAACCTTCAACACTAACTGACATTACGTTTGGTGTGAGGGCTAAGAATTAATGAACATTTTCAAAAGAGATCTTGGTGAGGGAGGGGGAACGTTAGTCCCATTCAGATAAAAGGACCTGAGCAACCACTATCCTTCTTTCTATTCATATCTTTACAAAGCCATGGCAAAATAAACAACAAATGTGATAAACATGAAAGGAAAACAAGCTTACTTTTCTTCAAAAACAAGCACAGATGGCCAGGCACAGTGGCTCATGCCTATAATCCCAGCACTTTGGAAGGCTAACGTGGGTTGATCGCTTGAGCCCAGGAGTTTCAGACCAGCCTGGGCAACATGGCGAAACCTCATCTCTACAAAAAATAAAAATAAAAATAATAATAATAATAATAAAACCCCACAAAAATTAACAGGGCATGGTGGTGTGCACCTGTAGTCCCAGCTGCTCAGGAGGCAGAGGTGAGAGGATGGCTTGACCCCAGAAGGCAGAGGTTGCAGTGAGCTGAGATCGTGCCATTACACGGCAGCCTGGTCGACAGAGCCAGACCCTATCTCAAAAAGCAAAAAAACAAGCACACAATCTAAAACAATCTCAAGATTTCAATTTGGTTCATTTCAAATTTATTTGAAGTTTCTTACTGCAGAGTGAGACTGGTGAGCTTTCAGGACTGGTTCAGCATCCACAGCTTTTTTAGCAACCATTAACTGTAACATCTGTTTCCGGTACTTGCTCATGATGAGCTCCAATGCATCCTGGTGTTCCTCCAAGGAAATCCACAGCTCTGTCAAAAAATAAAATAACTTGGCAGTGATGTCTGAGAGACAGTTCCCAAATCCAAAGTCTTAACAGTTAGAATTTTGCAATACTATAGAGATAATATGAATCCAAGGTTGTAAATCAATGTTTCAGTCCACAAAACTGAGCAGTTAAAGTCTATGTTAAAGGTAACTTTCTAGGCAGAGAAGCAAAATCTTGCAGTAACAACAACGGATATGTCATCAGAAGACATGGATTTGAGTTCAGTTCTGTAACTTGCTTGGTTAATACTCATAAGTAAATCATTTAGCTTCTCTGAGCCTATTTCTTAACAGCATTGTGATAGATAAAAATGAAGATATGAGAATACAGTAGAATGATATATGTGAAACCCCTCTGGTAAACAACTATTAATACTACAGTCATTAATAATGTACTAATCAAGCCTAAGAATATATACCCTTAGAGTAAAATTCTGCTGCTTCACCTTGCACAAACAAGAACATAAACAAAACCTTAAATCTTACCTTCAGTGTTTATATTAACATTTAAACATTAAATTTTAAGTCCATGAGGATATGAACTCTTTTGTTACACATCTGGAGATGCTTAAAAATAAACCATGCAATAATTCTAACTCTACATAGCCCCTCTTTGGTAAGCTGCTACAAAATCAGTCAGATGACCTTGAAATGGGTAATCTAACAAATTTTACTGTTACTGAGCCAGCACAGAAGGACTCTCCTAATAAAAGTACTGACCTGGAAATAGATGCACACCCTTGTGAATGTTTAGGGCAATTTTGCAGTAACTTTAAACTATTACCAGATATGAAAAGGTCTGACTAACCTCTGTTTTCCTGTTGCAAGTCTCTAATCTGTGTGTTCTCTTGAGACAGCAGAATGTGAGGTTTGTATTTGGACATGTCCTTCATATCGGATGCATCCTCTTGATACTGGACAAATAGAGACAGTCTAAGCATGCCTTAAAGAGAACAGCGGCAGATGCAACTCAAGTGGCAGAAGTCAGAGCTCTAGGGCAGGATTCTCAGCTCCGACCCAGGAAAAAGGTCTCACCGCCGCCCTCTGAGACCGGAAATAAATTTCAGGCCGAGTTCCCACTTTACCTCGCTCTCCACCCTTCAGTGCCCAGAATCCAAGAGCACTGGACTCCTACCCTCTGCCTGACCTGGTCCGGAAGCGCTGTCCCCGCCTCCCGCATAGCGGCTACCCGCCGGTGCAGCGCTGCCGACTGATCCACCAGCGACTCGGCGGCCGCATCGTGCTCCCGCAGCCTCTCCAGAAGCGTCTTGGCGTCTGTCAGGATCTTCTCGATGGTGCAGCTCATAGCAGCAGCACAACCCCAGCCCCTGCCGGGCTCAGCTACGCGACTCGCTCAGATCTTCTGGGAGTCTGTCTCAGCATTACTGGCGTCACTTCCGGGCACGTTTAAAAGGTGTCTTGGCAGACGCAAGAGGCGCCTGCGCAGTGGCAGCCTATTTTGCGGGTTCACCCGCTTTTACCTGTGGCTTCCTTGCAGTCCTGCCTGACGCGGAGCCCCAGACCTGCCCTTACCACGCTCTTGGTTTCCAGTTGCCACAGCCTGGTGGTCAGGCCATGATGAGCTGGGCAGAAGGAAGGTCTCCTTTCCCCACTGGTTTTCATTGATGTGGATTGTTATTCAGTCACAGTTATTTTCTTTTTTTCATTTAATTTTTATTTATTTTTTTTCGTTTTTGAGACGGTATCTTGGTATCTTGCTCTTGTCGCCCAGACTGCAGTGCAGTGGCGCGATCTTGGCTCACTGCAACCTATGGCTCCCGGGTTCAAGCGATTCGCCTGCCTCAGCCTCCCGAGTAGCTGGGATTACAGGCATGCACCACCATGCCGGCTAATTTTTCTATTTTTAGTAGAAACGGGGTTTCACATGTTGGCCAGGCTGGTTTTGAACTCCTGACCTCAAGTGATCTGCCTGCCTCGGCCTCCCAAAGTGTTGGTGTGAACCACTGCACCTGGCCTTTCATTTAATTTTTTAAAAATTGTGGCAAAATGCACATAAAATTTAATATCTCAGCCATTTTTAAGTGTACAATTCAGTAGTATATTCATATGGTTATACAGCCACCATCAGCATCCATTTCTAGTACTCCTTCGTCTTGCAGTACTGAAGTTCTGCACTCTTTAAACAATAACTCCTCATTCTTCCTTATCCCCAGCCCCTGGCAACCACCATTCTACTTTCTGTCTCTACAAATCTGACTATTCTGGGTACCTGACGTGAGTGAAATCATACAGCATTTATATTCATATAACTGCCTTGTTTCACTTAGCGTAATGTCCACGAGTTTCATCCACACAGTAGCATATGTTAGAATGTTCTTCCTTTTTAAGGCTGAATAATATGTATTTGCCACGTTTTGTTTATCCATTCATCCGCTGGACAGTTGGGTTGCTTCCGCCTTTTGCTATTGTAAATAATGCTGCTATTACAACTGGCTCACGTCTGGCTGTTTGTTGCCTAGAGGCCAAAATCATGAGAAGTGACTGGTGGTGAAAGGAAAGCAGTTTTACTAATCAAACGCTTGCAGATGGGGAATGGCTACACTCATGCCTTCAAAACAGCATTCCGCTTTTTTTTTTTTTTTTTTTGGTCAACGTATCCCAGAGACAGTATCAGTGTCCAAACTTTAATTTTGTCCCATATCAATGCCAGGGTGGTGTGCTACCTGCCCTGAGTCCATCATGTCACTCCTGCGGCCAACCGACTTAGAGTCAAAAGAGTTACAGCCAATTAAACATTCTAGGCCAGATGGGGAAGGAGGTGGGCAGGCACTCATTAACCTTAAAACTCCTCTTAAGCAATGTTAAGAGCCAAAAACCAAAAACCAAAAGGCAAGGTTACAAAATTGACTTATCTATAAGTTCTATGCATTGAGCTGCTGTAATCTTGGCTTGCTGCAATTAGCTATATGAAATGCAAGCATTTTGTTTAGCTGTTTTGGCATCTGTGTGTCATCCTTGATTTGTAGGGTCTGAACTGATTTTAGCCCTCAATACTGGCCCTTACAACATTATGTTATAGTCTCTAGGCCTGAGGGGATTGAAGAGTTTCAACTATTGTAGGTAAAACAAAACAGAAAGAATTAACAACATTTCAAACACAAAGGTCATAAACCCTGCCTAGTTTTGAGAGTAACAGGAAAGAAAGTTCATAGTGAGCTAAACACTTAAATTATTTACTATCAAGGCACAGAATACATTACATTAGTTCAGATAGAGGCAAAATTATTAAGTGAATCTTAATATTTTTGAACACAAGACTGTCCCTGTGTCTCATGAAAGCAGTTTACTTTGTCGCCTTTGCCTGAGTCTAAAGATGAGGCTTTGGTTAACTGCAGTTTAGTGTCAGATACTGGCAGGAGTTGGTGCCTTCTTTGGATGAGATATGTGTAAAGCCCTGTAACTTGAAAGCACAAGGATTAGTTAATATCACCTGATAAGGACCTTTTCAAGGAGCTGGAGGTGTGATACTGGAGTCTATGACCTGACTGAAAGCTATAAAAAGATTTTACAACCTTGCAGTGAGTAACTTTTATAGCTTTGATAAACCCCAGCAATAAGTCAGAGACTTAATTTATGATTTTGATTTTGAGGACATCTGTCAAAGATTTCAAAAGTCTCAAAACATTTGATCAAAACAGGATAATATTCATTGTAAAAATAATGTATTTATTTTTATAAATAAATTTGGTTAAATGGTTACTCATTTAACCAAACTGATAATTAAAGACTTTAAAGGCAATTCAGAAGGTTACCTGCACATAAAAACCCGAACCCTTTTAAATCTCAGTTTTTCTAGGCAATTAAAAACCAGTTAAAGAGAGCATGGGAATTATCTTGATAAAACATAAAAATCTTGTTTCTTAAGCAAGTTACTACACAGGCAAAAAACCCCTTCTGCTGTGTGACTGCTTCTCCTTATGGGAAGACCATGTAGATAATCTGAAAGTCAGACTTGAAAAAAGTGCTTGAATTTAATCAGACACAAGAAGAGCGTATTCACGATTATGAGTACAGCAAGGGAATACACCACTCTGAGCAATTGTGTCAGAAGTTTTCTGATTACAATGAAAATCACACTTATCAAGAAAAGCCAAGAGTACAGAATCAAGTTATATCGGAGGAAAACAATGCTTTTATAGAATTCTAAGATAAAACATTTCAGCATCAGGCCCCAACAGTTGGAATCAGAGGAAAAAATTAGAGGAGCTGATGGAAAAAGTTGAAGAGTCCTTTTCAAAGGGAGGAAAAAGCTGAAAACAGCAGGCACAACAAAAGTTGAACGTCTAAGATATGAATCTGAGAAGTTTTGAAAAGAAATAGGTGATAGAATTAAAAAGCAAAATTTCCTTTAATTTCATTAAGAGTAAACCAATACCTTAGGAAAACCTTATTTAAACCTAGGGAATCATTCATTATTTTTACTTTTATTTTACTTTAAATTCTGGGATACATGTGCAGAACATGTAGGTTTGTTACATAGGTATACATGTGCCATGGTGGTTTGCTGCACCTATGAACCCATCATCTAGGTTTTAAGCCCTACATGCATTAGGTATTTGTCCTAATACTGTCCCTCCCCCTGCCCGCCACCTGCCAACAGGCCCCAGTGTGAGATGTTCCCCTCCCTGTGTCCATGAATTCTTATTGTTCAACTCCCACTTATGAGTGAGAACATTTGGTGTTTGGTTTTCTGTTCCTGTGTTAGTTTGCTGAGGATGATGGTTTCTAGCTTCATCCATGTCCCTGCAAAGGACATGAACTCATTTTTCTTTTTTTTTTTTTTTGGAGACAAGAGTTTCACTCTTGTTGCCCAGGCTGGAGTGCAATGGTGCAATCTCAGCTCACTGCAACCTCTGCCTCCTAGGTTCAAGCGATTCTCCTGCCTCAGCCTCCCAAGTAGTTAGGATTACAGGCATTTGTATTTTTAATAGAGACAGGGTTTCTCCATGTTGGTCGGACTGGTCTCAAACTGCCAACCTCAGGTGATCTGCCTGCCTCAGCCTCCCAAAGTCCTGGGGATCATAGGCATGAGCCACTTTGTCCAGGTGAAGTCATTCTTTTTTATGGCTCCATAGTATTCCATAGTGTATATGTGCCACATTTTCTTTATCCAGTCTGTCACTGATGGGCATGTGGGTTGGTTCCAAATATTTGCTATTGTAAATAGTGCTGCAATAAA